TATATACATACCATATAAAGCTTAGAGGGTTTCAATCCAATTGTGTAAACAACAAACTTAATGTTTTTTTCCTATTTTTGCACAACTTTCCAAATCATTCTCAAAAGCAAACCCTTAACCCCTAAGCAACCAAATTAGTCTAATGAGATAGAGTTAATTAGGTTAATTAATATATGAATAAACTATAACCCTTTAATAAAATAACAAAATATGTGATTAATTACTTTATTTTATTTTATTTTTTTTATTATTGAAAACCCAATTAGGGAAGAAAAAACAAAAAAAAAAAAAAAAATCGACCTAAATCGCTAATATAACATATAAATTTATCATCGATCAATTTTAACATTCAATATAACTATGAGTGAGATCTCATGTTCGTTGGAGATGGAAACTAATCATTTTTGTATAAGGGTGTGAAAACCTCTCCCTAACATGCTTTGACAACCATACATAACAAGTCAAAACAGATAATATCTCCTGACAACCATACATAACAAGTCAAAACAAACAATATCTTCATGCTCTGACAACCATACGTAAAGTCAAAACAGACAATATCTCCTTTAACATACTCGGACAATCATACACAACAAGTCAAAACAGACAATATCTCCTTGACATGCTCGGATAACCTTACATAACAAGTCAAAACAGACAATATCTCCTTAATATACTCTGACAACCATATCTAACAAGTTAAAACAGACAATGTCTCCCTAACATGCTCTGACAACACATAACAAGTCAAAATAGACAATATCTGCTAGTGGTTAACGAGGTGTTACAAGAATATTTTAAAAAAATGTTACAAAATTAGTAATATTATATTAAAAAATATATATTATAACATTAAAGAAAAACCAAAAAAGAAAGAGAGGAATATTCAAATGTTGCAGTTAGAGAACACCCATTTGCCCACTTGGAAATATGGGAATTCTACACAGAACATACCCACTGTACTATATTATATTTTTAGAGTTTAAAAAATAACAAAATAATAAAATAAGAAAATAATTTTTTTTAATTTTAAAAAAATTAAATAATTTTTTTTAATTTTTTTAAAAAATTAAAAAATAATTTAGTAGCTATAGAGTAGTAAAGATAGGGTTTGGCAGGCAAAAGATTTGGAAAATTGGAAATGGTCAAAAGAGAAAGATAAAAGAAAATAATTGAATTTAATAAATAAATAAATAAATAAATAAAAAGAACACAAGTGTGTGTGTGTGGGGAATCCTGGTGTCAGATATTTAATCATATTGGCCTTCATCTAAAGCTCCCCTTTACTTGGTTTTGTGCCAAACTGATCAATTTCTTTGTCCCCCTTCTGTTTGTTGTTTGTACCCAAAATGTCTCTCAAGGTTAGATTCTACTCTATTACATACTCTTCCCAAATCTCCACTCCTTTTCATGCCATCCCCAACTCCATCCAACACCGTCCCGTCCCAGTATAACATCTCGACAACGACTTCTAAATTCTCATGTTCGTCTTAGTATAACATCTCGACAACGACTCCTGAATTCTTATGTTCGTCTAGTCCTCGAGCCTCAAAGTACAGTACTGGCTGATTATCTATTGTCTTGAATCAAACCTTTGACTTTTTGGTCAAAAGGTACGAAATGGTTGATCAGTGTATAGCCTATACCACTAGAATTAAACCTTATACGGACTTAAAGTTTTTTTTTAAGTCTACTTCCCTCGAAGGCGAGACGAGGTGAATTAAATAGTTTTAATAATAATAATAATAATTAAAAAAGAAAAAGGGAATTGAGAGATTTGAAAAACCCTAGAGGAGAGGAGAGGGGAAGGGAAAGGGAAAGGAACAGAAAAGGAGGAGCAGAGCAAACTGTACCTTATTATTCTCTTTTTCTTTCACATTTTATAAAAGAACGTGAAATTACAGCTTTCCCCTTATGCAACCCTAGACATCATTATTACCCTCTCTTCCTTCCCCTCCTTATTTTAATTCATTTTTCTTTTATTAATTCAATAAATATTACTTATAATTAATAATAATAAAACTCGTTTTAATTTAATTTATTCTAGAATTGCATATTAATTATTCTATGTCGAAATTTTTAAAAAAATTACACGTGGATAATGAAATGTTAATTAATATTTATTTATTTATTTATTTATTTATCTATTTTCGTGATCTGTTTGAGGAATTGTCCCGTCAAGCTCTGTTTCAGTCAAATTTTTGTTTGAAAAAAAGTGAGGGTTGGATGTCACTCTTTATGGAACATTTTCTTTTATTTTATTTTATTTATTTATAAATTCCTTTATGTGGGGTCACTTAATATGGGCCTATTATTCACATTTTCATGGTCCAATGGGCTCATTTGTATGGGCTTCTTGTCCGTTTATGGGCCTTTGGCCCAATGGATTGAATGGGATCTTTTGATCTGACTTTGGGTAATCAGATTGGGCCAAGACCACCAGTGACTTACAGGCTTGAAGGTCAATATCAAGTTAAGGAACACATTCAGAGAGAAGAAGCCCTCGAGTTCAGATTCAGTAGGCGGAATTTAATTACAATTAGTATGATTCAGTGCAAAATTCAAGGCGAAATTGATCTGGGGATGATAATGTCGCCAATGTTGTTGTGCCATGGGTCAGCCAAGTGAGTAGCCAAGTTCTCCAATGGCCCTGTTCCTGGGTATGCCGTTTGTTGCACACAGATTCCGACGAAAGCTAACAGCGCCAACCGACCTACAAGCCAGAAGCAATTCGATCAAGTGTTCAGTAATCAATTTTCATGTTTAAATTGTCACTGAATTCAAGAACAGGAAGAAAATGAGATTATTTGGATTCATAAACACAGTACTTCCAGCTCTGACGCCACTCAAATCACTATGAAGCTCAAGAGCTTGAATGAGTGGGTTATGTAGATTCAGTTATATAGATGTTTGAAGAGGTTGATACAACGGCCCAAGCTTACCGCTAGCCTCCGAATTTTTCCTTTCGGACTCCCTTCAAAGTTTTTAAAACGCATCTAATAGAGAGAGGTTTCCACACTTTTATAGAGAATGCTTTGTTCTCATCCCCCATCGATGTAGATCTCACAATCCACCTCCTTCAGGGTCTAGCGTCCTTGCTGACACTTGTTCCCTTCTCCGATCGATGTGGGACACCCCCCAAAATCCACCCCCTTTGAGGTCCAACATTCTTGCTGGCACACTGCCTCGTGTCCACCCCTTAGAGGCTCAACGTCTTCATTGACACATCCCCAGTGTCTAGCTCTGATACCATTTGTAACAGCCCGAGCCCAAACCCACATTGGCAGATTCCCTTTCGGGTTTCCTCTCAAGGTCTTTAAAATGTGTCGGTTAGGGAGAAGTTTACACACCCTTGTAAACAATGTTTCGTTCTCTTTTCCAATTAAACGAAGTGGTTTGGATGATGGAAAAGTGGTTTGAACAGTTCTAGAAAGCACTCAAAACTGAACCTTCTCTAATTGGCATTGAATCTAAGCAGAGTTGTGCAAAGAAATGAGGGCCTTACCGTTTTTGATCTCTTTGACTTTGTATTCCTTCAGCTTTACAGGGTCTTTTGAGTAGCCCAATGGGTCGAAAGCGCCTCCAGGGTACTTCTTCTTCTCGGTGTCTTTCTCCATGCTGCGCTGGTGCTCTACAAAGGCAATGGCAAGGAACTCAATGACCAAAATGGTGGGCAAAGTTCCCCATGGAACTGGCTGCCCCAAGTAGGTAGCTTGGCCTCCAGGAACTGCTGCCCATTCCTGAGCTTTCACCCAGTTGCCCAACCCCAAAGCCTCAGGTACCAAAATCCCTGGCTAAAAAAACAAAGAGCGAAGAATTAAAGAAAAGCCCCCATCATCTCAGAATCAAGCAACTGATTTTTGAAGACTTACAACAGCAAGCATGGCCCATCTGCAGTGAATTAGCTCAGACTCCTTGAATCTCTCGAGGTTCTCTGGCACTTCTCCCAGACGAAGAGGATCGAAGCCAAAATCACTGTTTAACATAACCACACATCTTATACATTAACACAAGACCATCATTGAGCATTATATTTTAGTTCATACTAATAGAGGCTACTCAACTCAACTCAAAATTACACAATTAAGGCTCAGATAAAGAAGGGTCCTAATTCTTATAGCTTTTCATGGGTTTTCACTTTCTTAAAGAAGGGTCCTAATTCTTATAGCTTTTAAAAAAACAAAAAACAAAATAGTTACAAAAGAGTACATAGAAGGACAAATCAAAGCACCCAAAAAGACTATCAGGATTCTAATAGACATTTCATCGAACACCTAGAGAGCAACAATCCAAATTTCAAAGCATTTCAAATTTCAATACCCGGGGGCTGAGCCGTCAAGGTACGGGGGGCGAGGCTGGCCGGGCATCCACTCGGCGGACATGGAAAACCGGGATGACGCATTGACGGCGACGCCAGAAATCGGGACACCGGTGGCGAATTTAGACTTAGAGGAGGAAAGAACTGAAGGGAAAGCGGTGGTGGCGATGCCGCAGCTCATCAAGGTGTTGGAAGCCATTGAAGAACACGGGCAAAGACGACGAGAGTGGAATGGCGGAAGAAGAAGGGGGAGAAGGGGACTAAAAGCACAGGCAGTAGAGAAGATTGGGGAATCTAAAGCTCGGTGTTCATTGGCTAAGAGTGGGTTGGTTTTGTGATCTCATTGAGCCAGCTGGAATTTGTCAATCCATTTTATTTGCTGACGTGGAATATCCAGCTGGATTGGGATCTTGGAATCGTGTGGTGGAGATTGTTCCACGTACAAATGTCAGTGAGAAATTCATAGATTATATAAAAAGATGGGCATGCGTTGTCTCAACCCTATTTTTGCAAATATAAAGAGATGAAGGGGTAATTTGCAAATTTACATTTCCTTAGGGATCAAGCAAAAGCGTTGGGCTTCACGAGGGGTGTTTTCGGCAGTGAAATTATAGTCAAAGGTAAAATCAGAAGTGATCATGATGTGGGTCATCTACATGGTGTGTAGCGTTGTACACTACACCTCACCACACCCAATAACCCACATCTCTACGTTTCGGCCCACTCTCTCCTTAACCCAAAAGTCTCAGGCGAAGCCAAACAATCCATTTTGATCCCGCAACTCCGATCACCGTCATCCACTGTCCACCGTCTCCGCCCATGAGTACTCCAGCAGTTCCGGGGGTAAGCTCTGTTACAATTGTTTGCTTTTAATCTCTTCTTAAATGGTGGTCTGTTAGTCGCATTCAGATCTCGTAGTTCGTCTTTTTTTATCTTCTAATGTGCATGCCAGATCTTGACATTGTCTCGAAATTCAGCGACGTTTCTATTGATTTTTTTTTCTTGTTTTGTTTTGTATTTGGACAGAGCTCTGGTTTGTTTACTGGATTCACCAAGCTATGCAAGGGCTTAGCCGTCGTGCTAATTGGCGGGCATATCTTGGTTCAGGTTTTTCCTGCGGCTGTTAACTATCTTGCTCTTATTCCAGCCAGGTATCTTTTTTTGGAGAATTTAGTTTTTGGCTTAGTGGTAATGGAAACTGTGCGAAGATGATGACTTCATAGCCGAATCTATGCGATGCGTACGTTCTTGTACTAATGCCAGTAGGTTTCCGATTAGAAATGACTTCGTTTGTCGAGTTGAAATTTAGTTTGGAAAGAATCTAGAATCTTGTGATCACTTCGATTGTGAGTGAATTATTGTGATCTAGAGGCTTGTCTTGTGGGATTGATGGAAGTTGGTCAATAGTTTAGTTGCATTGCTTGGAAATGTTGTCATAATTGCAATGATTCTGTCGATTCCACTATTTAATTTATTGGCCATACCATCCATGTACCGTTCTGCTCTTCTTCTGAATAGAATGCCTACGTTGATAGGAAGTAGCAACAGACCATCTGAGAGGCTACGCAATCTACTGCTTTAGGGTGCCAATGGTTGTGTTGCAGGGGCCTGAGTGTACTATTTTGATATATAGTACTCTTTCTTTTTTTTTTTTTTTTTTGGTAGTGAAGAATCCAAAGATGTCATTTCCTCCATGTTGCTAGATGTTTTTACTGCTAACCAATCTGAATTATTAACTCTGCTGAATAATTAGAGGAAGCATCCCCACCTGAGTGTGAAATGTGAATCCCTTACCATTCTGAATTGGCTTAATTTCCTGATAGGGAAAAAGAAATTAAGTGAAAATGTAGAGAAAGATATCCTCTGTTAGAGAAGGAAATTAGAGAAAAAAATCAAGCCATCTAGAGGAAAAATGTATAAAAATGAGCCCAAAATCTGAATGTTCACACTCTTGGACCAGCAAGAGGTATAATATAAATATTTTTTCTCTGAAAATTTATCCATCTTAATATTTTTGTTAGAAAATAAAAGTCTTCCTTTCCTACCCAACTACTCAACGAAGAGCTGAAATTTTCATGTATCTATATGACCTTGATCTTCTGAAATCATTCTCATTATTGGAGAATTCACATATCTTAGGGAAACCTAACAAATATTTAATTTACAAGTAACTCAAACAACCCTGAATTTGCTACAAAGATTAAAATGGAGAAAAGTATCACGTACCAAAGAGTCGAAGGCCATTAATTTAGGCAAAATATGATGACTGATGTGATAATATAGGCAATGAAATCTTGATCAACTGAAGGTCATGAATTCTTGTCACTAGTGGACGTGCATTTAAACACTTAATAGATTGGTTGTGATACTCGCCTATCCTATTACAAACTTATGATGCAGTGGACATGAATGCATTTCCGTAGGAAACTTCCCTTGCGACTGAATTTGGGCGTGAAAAATTTATAGTTCTTTCTCATTGCCTGTTCACCTAAATATCAAAATTGTCATTATCTTTCAGTATTCTATCAACATTTTTCATTGCTCCCTTTTTACATATAGAGTTATCAAGATAACTCTGTATTGAATCTCTGACTTTTGACTATATCAATAAAATTATTTATCATAATGTAGAAATTTGTACCCAGTTTAATTAATTAGTTTGTTTTATTTGTCTGAGGTGAAAATATTTCCTCTGTAGTATAGGAATTGATTAAGTTCAGAGATGACCTTAATATCTGACCAACTATTGAGTAGTTCAATTCAACCAGAAATCGTGTAAGCTATAAATGGTTGGGTTATTCATTCCTTTGAACTTCTATTTTGTAGGACAATACCTTTTGCCTGGAATCTCTTAACTGCTGGTTATGTTGAACAGTCAGTATATGGGGTATGCACTCACATTTTCACACACTATATTTTGTTCCATTTACAATAACCATTAGAATTTATCTCACTATTTTAAGTGAGTCTCCACTAGAAGTTCGACTCATTGAGAGCCATATATTGCAGGTTGTTGTCAGCACAGTTGGTCTTCTTTTTGTTGGGAAGCTGCTTGAACCCATATGGGGCTCTAGAGAATTTTTGAAGTTCATCTTTATAGTCAATTTTCTAACTTCTTTATGTGTTTTTATCACAGCGATTGCCCTGTACTATATTACGCAGGAGGAAATTTATCTGTAAGTGCTACTGAGTCCTCGCGCATCAGTGGCACCATTTAGGCGTACATGTGTTCATGTCTTTAGCTGATAGATCATTCTGCGGGTTTCATCACTTAAGGCTGTTTTAATCCAATTTGATTTTCGTTTAAATCAATTTTGTCTGATTCATTCCCTTTATCAAGTCCTTTTTAAGCATGTTTCGTGTCTGTTTTGCCTCTCAGGCTTTCCAGACATCTTATTTACATCTTTTTGTGGTCTCAGTTATTTCCCTGTATCTGGTTTCTATGGGATTCTAGCTGGGTTCTTGGTTGGGATCAAACAAATCATACCTGATCAAGAGTTACCTGTAGTGAAACTAAGAGCTAAGGTATGAAATATGTAGTTAGGTATATCCATATTTCAAATAATTTTTATCAGAGTTTTATTTGAACCTCATCTGATCTTTTGCTTCCAATTTCATGCAGTGGTTACCGTCTCTTGCTGTATTTGTATCCATTGCTGTAAGCTTTTGGACAACTGGGGCAGCAACATATCTTCCAACAATAATATTTGGGACATACATCAGCTGGATTTATCTGAGATACTGGCAGAGGAAACCTGAAGCAAAACTGAAAGGCGATCCAAGTGATGATTTTGCATTCTCTACACTCTTCCCTGAACTTTTACGGTATACTGTTTTATTTTGAAGCCTTTTCTATTTTTAAGCTTCTCTTTCCCATGTTTCAGGAATATTCTGTGTTCTCTCTCTCCATATTCCATACTGTACTCTCAGTCTTGATGGTTTTGTGCAGGCCAGTCATTGATCCAGTTGCATCAGTAATTCATCGTCTTCTTTGTGGAAGATCTGAATCCCCTAACAATGCTGAGGACTATACTGCTGGAGGCACCCCGCTGCCCGGTTCAGATCCCATTGAGGCATCTCGAAGGAGGTAATATTTGTTAATGCTTTTCTCCTAGCTCATAAACTCTATCATACTAATGTTTTCCACTTTTAGCGTGTTCTATAGTTTGCAGAAGGAACTGATTTTAGTAACTATTTTTGTTTTAAATGGTTTGAGGTAGACAGGACAGAACAGAAAATTACAAGATGGAAAGAGTTCTAAATTTTCTTTTGGGGGCAAATTAGGGGTTCTAAATTTGTTTTATCATCTAGAAATTAGGGGCTAAATTTAAAATTAAATTATTTTATGAACAATTTTCAGTTTCAAGTATTGATTTCCCCTCACCTAACGATTATGCATCTACCTGCGTCGTGACGTTTCTCTCATTATTTGCATCCTTTGCTCGTCTCTGTGCTTTGTCTGCACAAGTTGTTGCCCTATTAATCACCCATATTGAAGAACATTGTTGTCAGAACTTTTTCAAAAAGAAAAACCATACAAAGGGGGGTGACAGGGTGTCAACTCATAAGGAAATCTAGAGAGAATAGTGAAGAATGTTATAAACATAAAGGAAATGTGTGTAACCAAAAAAAAATTAAAGGACTTAGAGGAGAGGAGAGAATACTCATAAAATTTGAACACTCTACTCGTTGCAGAGAACGGGGAGCTAGAGCTTTGGAAGAAAGACTGGCTGCAGCCAGAAGTGCTCAAGAGTCGGGAAGGGATGCAACGGATAGCGTCTGATTGATTATATGTGGTCATCTGCTAGGGCCTATGTTTGTTGATTAACTTGGGGACTGTGCAGTACATCAAGAGGTCCTCTTTTCTTTTTTCTAAGATACAATTTTGTTTTGCACATTCCTTGTGATCATTGAGTTACAAAAAAAAAAAAAAAAAAAAAAAAAAAAAAAAAAAAA